TTTTTTTTTTTTTTAGAGAAAATTACTTTAAAAAAATGTTTTTATTGATTTTAGAGAGACAGGAAGGGAGAGGGAGAGAGATAGAAACACCGATGAGAGAGAGAAACATCATTGATCGGTTGCCCCCTGCACGCCCCTTACTGGGAATCGAGCCCACGACCCTGGGCATATGCCCGGCCTAGGAATGGATCCAGGGACCTCTTGGTTCATAGGTAGACGCTCAACCAGTGAGCCACACCAGCTGGGCTTTCTCTTATTTTGATAAAATCCAATTGGGAACAGTTTCCTTATGATCTGTCTCTAGTTTGCTCTTAATCTAAGGGATCATGAGACTAGCAGAAAGCTTTCACAGCTGCTGTGTAGCAGTTCCCCCTTTTATTTCTTCCTTAATGGGTTTGCAGTACGCTTAGAGATTTAAGAATTAGGTGGTATCTCATGGTGTTACAGTTTATTTTAAGTACATAGATAAAATAGTAAAGGCAATAAATAGGATATTCTCCTTCATAGTTATCTAATTTTTCCTCTTCGGCAACCTAAGTGTTGAGATGATAACAGTCACCATTGCTGTTAGCACGTATCTAAGGCTTCCAGAGTGCCTGACACGGTTGTGAAAGCTCTGTATTTGTTAATCCTTTCCATCCACACAACAGCCCCACGAGGGAGGCACTGCTGGCACCATCCCATTTTAAGGATAAAGATACAGAGTCACAGGAAGACGTTAAGTGGTGGAGCCAGGACTCGAACCCAGGCAGTGTGGTTCCAGAGCCTGTCCTCTTAGCCACTACACTTTATTTTACATATCAAGAATAAAATTTTTCATCTAAGATGCCCCCTTTCCTTCCACCTATCCAAATTGAACCTGCGTTTCAAGACTCAAGTAAAATCCTATTTTAAAGCCCATCCTAATGACCTCAGCCTAAAATGCTTTCTTTTCTTGAATTGTAATGGCAGTTCTTGCCTGTCAATCTAATTTACAGCTAGATGTGATACAGCTCTACACTGTTGTCTCAGAATTATGATTTAAAATTACATTGAGCAGCTTTTTATTATGGCTGAACATTTTGTGTTCTGGTTTCCTACTTACTGGCTTAGGGTAAGTTCTCGAAACCCCCCTTTTCTCATCTGTAAAGTGGTGCTAATATTTGTTCTAGTTAATGATACGATATTTATAAGGCTGCTAAACAGGTATGAGCTGGCATTGCTTCCTACATGGTGAAGGTGAACTTGGCCATCACTATCCTGGGAGCTGAGTAGGGGAAGGTGGCAGGAGCCTCGCCCCAGCTTTCAGAATGCATGGGTCAGCAACCCCCCTATTTTTGGTGTTCTCCCCTATTATTCCCTGTTCTCAACTCTTCCTGAGGTTCTTCAATCCAGAGGTATTCTGTTTTACTTTTCCAGAGCATAAATATATAAATACACATTCCTCTGCGAAGGTGAAGACTGTTAGGCCTTTGGTAGCACAGAATGTGAGAGGAGATCTGGGTGCCTAATGTCTCTTCAAACAACTTTGAAGCAATCTTCCTGTTTTGCATCTTGCCCTCACAGTGCATTTCCAGGGGAACCTGATGCGGCCACGTCCTGAGCCCTGTGGCATTTCTGTGAAAGAAATCAGGTTGTTTCTGGCTCTCCCACTGGAGGCTTGAGATTGAGCCTTCACAGGTCTTCTGGCTCAGTTTCCCTCGTGCATCTGCTGTCCAGCATCCCAGATGTTATTGGTGGTGTTTCTTGTGCATTTACACCTTAAAATTGTCTGTGCACTCTTGTATTGAATGTTTTAGAATATCAACATTTTGTATAAAAATGTAGTAGGGCCTGAAGTTGAAGGAAGTAAACATAAATGAACAATGATTATTGTTACTATAACTCTTCTCCTATGCCTTATAGGAAACGGAGATAGTTTTATAAAAGGACAAACCTTTAACTTACTTAGCTGGTGATTACACACAGTTTATTGTGCTTTTTAATCCTGAAGGAAAGCAGAACATGTCACTACTGGGCAATGTAACTCTGTGTTTGTGTCGTTTTGTAGGAGACCTTCAGCACCACTCTGAATGGAGAGGATACAGTTCACCACTGGAGCTGGGCCTCAGACATGCCCCTGGAGTGTGCCACTCACTCCGTAGGAATTCGATGTTACGTCGATGATCCTCATTTCTCTGGTCGCAAAGAGTGGAGTGACTGGAGCCCCCTGAAGAACGTTTCCTGTAAGCTTGTATTTAAAGAATTTTTGTTTCAAGTGGATGGGATTAGCCTTGCTTCAGGGAAAGATGTAGTTTAAGCTTTCAGTTCTCAGAACCCCATTTGTCTGCATGGGGGTCACCTGGGATCTTCCAAGTCCCCCACCCCAGTATTTTCAAAGACTTCCTGAATGATTGGATCAACATTCAGGTTTGAAAATCACTGTGGGAGACATTGAAGAGCCTGTAAAATGTGTGTGGGGGTGGTAATGAGATCAAGTCTGTATTTAAAAAAAAAAAAAAAAAAGGTTCCCAGTTTCTCATCCACAGAGCAGACCCGTGAGCTATGGTTTTTGCAGAGACATGAGAATCTGCAAATATGCCCCAAATCACCGGTACCTTGAGTAAAATTCATGTGCAGGTAGAACGCTGGCAGTGTGGGGAAGGCCTAGCAAATTACTGACAGTACAGTGAAGTCCCTAAAGGACCGCTGGTCATCATAGACGATTCACTTCAGTGGCAATCTGGAGGAAGGCAGGCCTGGAAGCAGGTGGATAAGTAAGGAGAATCTTGTTGCAGTTTAGCAAAGGACAGTGAAGATGTGACAAGGACACTGGGTTTAGAAATGTCAAGGGGAGAAGGGGAGCACACACTGAGGAGGCTGAGTGAGAATTAGGGACCGTGCGTTGGGTCCGGGAGGAACAGAGCCAGAGGTGACTGTTTACTGGGCAGCTGGGTAGCTGAGAGAAGACGTATGAACACATTAGGTAGGAAAGATCCGCTTCATTTCTGGTGCATTGAGTTTGAGAGACGTACGAATAAAGTGTCTCATTGGCAGCTGGAAGTACAAGTTCGGCATCCAGGTGACTGGTTGGAGCTGGAGGTACATATCTGAAAATCATCAGCACATATGTGATGTGGAAATGTTTACATCCTGGAGGTACCGTAGCTCAGGAAAAGGAATGGAGACCAAGGACCCAGTCCTTCGAAGCTTTGTGTCCCAAGGGGAGGAGGGAAGAAAGAGACCAGCAAAGCACACAGCTGCCAGAGGGGCAGAGTAGCCCAGGAGGGGACGGAGGGAACCCGGGGGCCAAGGGAGTTTGCAGAAGGACTTGAGGCAGCTCCCGGAGCAGTAGGGCCAGCTGGCTGCTTCGGGAGAAGGGGAGTGGGCGCCGGATTGCGCCCGGGAAGGAGTGAGTAGGTAGAAAGGAGACGAGAGGTAACCTAAAGGATGGGCCTTTTAGGAGAAGAGCGACCACAGGTGTGGCTTTAAGCTGCCGGGAGTTGGGAGTAAAGTGCTTTTTTTGGACGTGGAGGACTTGCACACAGATTTAGGCTGATGGAAGGTAGGAAGTCTTCCCTAAACACATGGGGTCATCTCCGAGGAGTGGGCCTGATGAGTGACATTTTCTTGGTATTGATTTTTCACATGTGGATGTAAACCCATTTCTCGAACTTTTAGAACTTCTCAGGCATTAACCTGTGACCTGTGACCTTAGACATTGATCTACAGTCCCCTCCACTCCTGCACCATCACTCCCATAAGTAAATAAAACCACGCACCTTGATTTCTTGTATATGTCCTGCTCCCCTGGAACCTGGAGGGCACGCCTTATCTTTGGACCACCGTTATTAGAAAGCTCCCCAGGTGTGTTTTGTATGCACTGGGCTACTTCATGGTAAAAGGCTTCTAAAGTATCTGTAATTCCTTTTGCTCTTTCTAGGGTCTGCTCGTTCTCAGAGTAAGGTTTTTCCTCAGGACAAAGTGATACTCGTGGGCTCAGATATCACATTTTGTTGTGTGACTCAAGAAAAAGTGTCATCGGCGCAGATCGGCTACACAAAGTGCCCCCTTGTGCATCTCGACGGGGAGAACGTGGCAATCCACATCCACAACATTTCTGTTTCTGAGAACAGTGGGACAAACGTGGTTTTCACAACAAAGGAGAACATTTATGGGACAGTTATTTTTGCAGGATGTAAGTATAAGATAATTTTTTTAAAACCAGTTTCTGTTCATCAGTTTTTGTCTCTTCCAAAAGCCTTAATGCTATTTTGGGAGCAAGGGGGGGGCGATTGTACTTTATTTTTATTGTTAATGTTAATGACATAAAAGGCATCAGAATTTTTACTTGTTTAAAAGTGAGATCTAAGCTTGTTTTCTGCATACGTGTATCTATATAATTGTAGGTTTTGTATTAAGATTTAAACATTCAGTGGCTAAAACTGTTAGTTTAGATTCTTAGTTAACAGGCTTATGAGTCAAGGGGTGTTAATATATAATATTTCTGAATCCCACATTGCTTAGGAATTCTCTCATATAAGTTCATTTTCCACCTAATTACAGCATACCTTTGTAAAGTAAGTACCCGAATTAACGAAATTGTAATGATTTTTGCCCCGAATCTGTCAATAGCGTAATATTTGTTTCTCCAATTTTAAAAAAGAATATCTTTGAGAAGAAGGTACCTGGAGGACACGGGTGAGCAGCCACCCTCTCTCTGTGTTGTGTGAACTGTGCCCCAGAGCGCAAGGGCGTCTTTATTAATGTGGTCGCTCCTACAGGCCTAAAACGCCACGCAGCCCAGAAGCCGCTGCGGGGACTGCCCGGCCTCTGGCTTGTGTTGAGCGAGCATGGATAACACTGCCCTCTGCCCCCTCCCCCGCGGTCGGTCCCTCTGATGCAGCGCAGGGGTGGCTCTGACTCCTGCAGTGCTTCCTGTCCCCCCATTCTTCATTCAAGGCTCTGAGTGCCCTCTGAGGGTCTCGCGAAACAAAGCGTGTGAAATGTAGTGTGTGGGTTTTGTGATTTTTCTTTCTATTGCTTTGTGATTTTCTTATGCTTTTTTCTGATTCTCGGCTGTGCTCCAGATCAGTTGCCCTCAGTCTCTTTTTCTCTCACACACAAACTTAGGATGAATTACATTCAGTGGCTGAGCTACTTCCAAGGGAATAGCCAGGATTAGGTGCACCTCTCAGCTTGATGGCTGTAACCTTACTCTTCTTTTACCTCCCCAGCAATGCAGTGTGGAATCCAGGGAGGGTGAGGTTATGTTCAGTGTAAGTTGTAGAAAATTACATTTTCTTTCCTGGTGATATTTTAGGAAATGACTTGCAGTCTGAGTTGAGAACCAGTGGTGTACAGAGCAAAGCTGCCTGATAGCTGACACCCAACAAGTGAGATATTCACTCAAAAGTATGAAAGAAAAAAATTAACACTTAAAAGATGAGAATAGCCACAGGTGGTGTTATTTCAGTGTTCCAATCTTTTATCATAGTTCTAGGACAAGCCCATTTATTTCCTAACTTAACCTTCACTTGTAACATTTGTAGGTTGAAATGTTGCTCGATATTTGTGAACTCAGAAGCAGCTGTAGAATTTCCCTGTGGAGGAACGTGCACCCCGGGCAGTCTGTGGTGTGAGGAAGGGATCAAGACTTACTTAGCTAGCTTCTCTCCCCTGTGGGGGTCCTGTTAGCCCACAGTTCACTGAAAAGACAGAAACAAATTTTACAATCAGCTTTTCATTTTCCCCCTATGCACACAGATTCACAATCAAAACCTGCCAAGATTGTAATTTGGGTTACATTAAACCTATCAACTTAGGAAAACTTTTTTTCTTATAATATTGAGTCATTCAAAACAAGAACATGGTACATCCCTCCATTTAATTAGGTCTTCCCTAATTTATCTTAGTGATACAAAGTCTTGTATATCTTTTAGTAAATTTACTCCTACATGTTTGATGTTTATGCCATAAAAATTGATTCTTGTCTTCTCCAGTTTATTTTTGTAATCAACAGTAAATTTATTATCCAGCAGACAGAAGAATAATTATTTACCAGTACTTGTCAGTGTTCATGCATGAGCTAATTTAGTCATAAGCAAAACAGATCTTTTATGAACATTATTTGTTCAGTAATCATTCAGTTGAATTATTTCGATCGATAGTGCCACTTCAGCATTAAATATTGACCTAAATGTCAATCTTTCATCATACCTAAGATATTTTAAAATAATACACTGTGACATGGGATTAGAGCATGTAACTGTCTCACACGTCCAATTTTATACTTTCTCATTTGAAAATATTGTCACAAAAATGACTTTGATTTTTAAATTGTATTTTCTATTTGCTGTGTTTGCCGGTACGTGGAAACACAGCTGATTTATACCTGGCTTGCCCAGCTTCAGTTGATTCTTTTGTAAGTTAATTTCTTTGAACAGAAAAGGAAATCTGTGTGTTTACTTATAAATACTCCCCTCTCATACTTTTTCTCTTTTTGCTTCCACTTCTTTCTGTTTGGCTTCTGTTATTTGGACTTTTCATCTTAATATATCTGTCAAATACTGAAACAGTCAGTGTTTTAAATATACTAAAAAATTTGGTATGTCATTTTAATAAAAGGAAAGTTTCGCCTTAGATTTAAAACAATTTTCAAAACAGGCATGTCACTGTTAGTTTCATTGCCCCGTTGTTAGGCTTTGATGTAAATACTCCTTACTCCTGCTGGTGTTGCCTAAAATATCACTGAGGGACAATATGCTTATCTCTGGAGCAGGCGTGTGAAATCTTCTGAGTCTTGGTTGATAAACTAAGAACTATTTTAAAAATTTAGTTGTTTCAAAATAAAAATATTTTACAGAATTTTTCAACAAGTAGATCATTGTTTTTTTAAAAGCTCACCTTCAGTGACAGTTTAGATAAACGCCATAGTAGGAAATACCGATTTCTACATAAGTTTGGGTAAACGTGATCACGGAAATATCAATTTCTATAATCAGTGTCAGACTGCAGAATTTCCCCCTATCACCTTAACAGTCTCATACACGCTTAAAAAGACACACTACCTTTTCTTTCTCTAGTCCTGCCTGAACAAAACCAGAGAGAATGGTTTCAATTAAGAACGAAAGCTACAGAAGAGCAGTATTCACTTTGAATACAGGGAGATGCTGAATTTTACTGCGAGTTACTTTGTGAATAATAGTCGTCGTGACTTATTTAAGAACTCGAAACGTGTAACATGATTTACCTTGACTTTTAATAGGACTTGGTACTTCTTTTCAAGTCATATATGCGGATGACCAGTAATAATACGTTTAACCTGTAGGTTTTTCTGTCCTGTTGGACACACCTCCCTCTGAGAGGTTTGGTAGACTCGGAAAGCATTTCAGGGAAAAAAGGTAGTCGGTATCCTCGGGCTGCTCTTGGGGGGCTGTCAAATGAGCCGATTCTCGCTCCTCAGCATACTTTCATCTTTCATGTCTGATGTATCATGAACTCCGAAGAAGCATGCTACGGAAAGAATGGTAATTCCTGCATTGCTCAAAAAGTAAAATAGAAACAACACATGATTTCATTTTAAGGAAATGGTACAAAATAAAATGAACATGTGAAACATTTTCAGGGAGCATGTCTGTTAAAATAAGTAAGTACATTTTTTTTCTTTCTCCCTTTAGATCCACCTGATATTCCTCAGAAACTGAACTGTGAGACTTACGATTTAAAAGAGATCATCTGCACTTGGGAGCCAGGAAGGCCGACGGCGCTGGTGGGCCCACGCGGCACCAGTTACACGCTGTTTGAAAGGTGGGGACACCAGGCTTCAGCAGCGGAGCCGGTCAGAAGGGGTTCGTTATGTGACACAGCGAAATGCTCTCTCTCTTATATTATGAGCAAGATATAAAACCAAATAAGCGGTATAAAACTGGGTATACCCTTAATACTGCAACTTAACGCGCACAGACTCGGTTTGCCTCCTTTTTTTACAAAGCCCTGAAAGAAGAGCCCTCGAATACGAACGAGACTGGTTCTCGGTAGTGGGCTCATGGCCGATTGTTTTCTTCTATTTTCAGTATCGTCTACACTTTCCTTTCTGAGTATGTAGTACATCTATAATTAGAAATGCAAATACTTTGAAAACATTATTAGAAATTTATCGATTCACTTCTTTTCTGCCCTGTTTATCTCTTGCCATTTTGACATTTAAAAAAAAATTTTTTTAATTGATTGATTTTAAAGAGGGCGCGGGAGGAGAGGGAGAGAAACATTGATTTTTATTATTCCACATATTTATGCATCGTTGGTTGATTCTTGAATGTGCCCTGACCGGGGACTGAACCGGCAACCTTAGTGTATTGGGTGATGCTCTAACCAGCTGAGCTACCCAGCCAGGGCTTGATATTATTTTAATGTTCCTTCTTCCTCTCTTAATTCACAGTTTTTCAGGAGAATATGTTAAATTTAAAAGAGTCGAAGTGCCTGTAAATGACAGCTATCAGCTATTCTTCCAAATGCATCCAAATCAAGAAATGTATAATTTTACTTTGAATGCTCGCAACCCTCTGGGTCACTCAGAATCGACAACATTAATTAATGTGACTGAGAAAGGTAAGCTGCTCCTTAGATCAGGGCCTCAAAATAACACGAGAAGGGGTGAAATATCTCCAGGTTAACGAGAAGTTCGTCTACGGATTACTTCTTACTGGTCATTTTCTTTATAACTGCTTAATATTAATCTTGCAAATTTTATTTTAAAAGCTTTAAAATGTGTAATTTCAAGTTTTGCTGTTTATTGAATCCAGGTAAAATTTTGAATTAGTTATTTCATTTACATGGAAACCATCAGTGGCTTCATCTAATAGTTTTTGATTTCTGAAAAAATTCTGCACCGTTTTTATTTTGAAATAATTGTAGGTGGTTGCAAAAATAATAAATCAGAGCCCTGTGAGCTCTTCACCTGGCTTTCCCCAGTGGCAGCATCTTATGTTCTTTAGTGCACTGTCCAAACTAGGCAATTGACCTTGGAACAGTACTGCGAACCACACTACTGACCTTGCTCAGTTTTCGCCAGTTTGTATATGCATTCACCTGTGTGTGTATGTGTGTGTGTTGTGTGCGTGTATGTGTGTCGGTCTGTGCAATCGGATTTATGTGTAGATTCATGGAACCAAAACAGTCAAGACACAGGACTGCTCTTTCACCGCAAGGAGACTTCCTCATGATGTCCTTTTAACTGCCCCCCCCCCACACACACACACACACTTGCACACCCCTGTCCCCAGGCAACAGCAGACCTGTTCATCTCTGTTGCTTTGTCATTCTGAGAATGTTATATAAATGGAATCATGTAGTATGTAACCTTTGGAGGTTGGCATTTGTTACTAAGGGTAATATCCTTGAGATCCATCCAAGTTGTTGGTTGGATCAGTAAATAGTTCAGTCCTTTCTACTGCTGATGATTTCTTCATTTTTACCAGTCCTATTAATATATAGCCCAAAACAGAAATAAAATATGGTCCAGCATTCTGTCCTTCATTCCCATGGTCATTGCAGCTCCCTGCCCCTTGCCAGGCTCTGCAACACCGGAGACTCGGGGGAGAAGGCGCTTAGACCAGTGCCCCTGGTGTCGCCTGGCAGGCGATTGGCAGGTGGCCCTGCTGCCGTCTCCTTACTTACATGAAAATCACTTTCATCACTTATTTCTTCCCATCATCATTGTTATTTCCTCATTTCACCGAAGGACAGGATGGCTACCTTTTATGCTTGAGTAGCAGCGTTCGTATGCATTTCTCTGCCCTCTGCCATTTCAGCCGTATTTACTACGTGATTCTTTCCCACCATCAAATGGGTGTGTGCACCATCGCCAGTGTAACGTGCACTCTGCTTCTCTGTGCGAGGACCCCAACCTGAAATGCTTTTCTGCCTTTGGTTTGCCCGTGTTGGTCTGATTTTTCTTTCAAAGCTCGCCCGAAGTCCTGCCTTCACTGTAGGCACCTCCTTACCATGTCTGTATCTAATTCCTGCAGTGTTTAACATGTGTGCCACGCATTTAGAACTTAGCATAGATGCTCTTGTTAATTTTCTTTCTTTCTGTTTGTCATTCCCCAAGTAAATCAGGGGTTCCTGCCAGGTAGAGACTGTGCTCTAACTACCTGTTACTATTCCTGACGCCAGGGAACCTTGAGTGTGATCGATTCTTTAAAAATGTTGGCACATTGTCAGCAAAGAAGTGAGGTTTGTGTATTCCACAAACACGGAGGAAATATTGTCGATCGGCACGAACAATGCCGCTCTTGTTTTTACTTTCCTTGATTCTTATTTGTCATATTAGAAAATAGCTTTTAAAGTAATTAATCTTTAAAAATTATATTTACAGTTTATCCCCATACTCCTACTTCGATCAGAGTGAAGGATATTAATTCAACAGCTGTTACACTTTCCTGGCATTTGCCAGGCAGCTTTGCAAAGATTAATCTGCTGTGTCAAGTTGAAATTAACAAAGCTAATTCAGTGCAAGAATTGGTGAGTAAGATACTTCTACAAGCTTCCTTAGAGGTTATGTTGGATGAAATACTTAGTTTTCAAAAGTAACTAAGCTCTGGTTATTTATTATAGAGATTTACTAAGAACCGAGATATTATGTATAAATGTAATAACAGCATTGTATTTAGCACTTGAAAACGATTATAATACTGGCTATTATGGAACATAAGTTTGACTTCTGCCACTCATACTGTTTCCAGCTCTAGTGTAGCACCTGGCGTATAGCTGGTGCTCAATAAATTTGTGAATTAGCAACTCATTCTCGCTGTAACCTTTAGCACCAGATAATGGACTAATTGGCACCAGAGAGAAGATACGATTTTTAAAAACCACTAAGTGCAGCCACAGGAGCAAGTTATAATTGGTTATTATGAGTCAAAACATGACTTTTTAATACATTTTAAGTACTTAGGTTGACTTTTATACTGCACTGTCTTGTAATTTGTGGTAAGTCCAAAATAAATGGTATCATACTTACATATTCATTTGGAAACTTGCTGGTGATTTCTAGAATACCAATCACACTGTCAAAGGTAACTCTGAGAACTCTTTTATAATAAGGAATCGGGAGCTCACAAGCTTCCCGGAGGTGTGCAAATCTTCACATTTACTTCATTTTAATTTTATTTAGTTTAAATATGTGTTGAGTAGTATGCATGTTTAGCACTACACTAGAGCTGCTAAGTGCCATATGGGAAAACAGGTCTAAGATGATGCCTGCTTCGAGTAAGCTTCCAAATGTCACCTTGAATAATACACGTAATCCTCAAGGTCATCTCAGATTACTCAAATATATTAAGGTTTACGGCACCACCATTAGCCACCGACTATTACCAAGTTTATATTCTCCTCTCTGCATAATTTAATTGACTGTTACTCTTTAGATTCAATATTTGGATTAAGAAGACACCTCAGTTTTGTTTATTGCTATTGCAGAGCTTAATTTCCCTGATTTGGCATTTATATAAGAATTAAAATATTATAGGGGATGAACTGTCTTTGATCTTACAGAGGTGGGCTCATGTGGATGTGCAGTCAGTTCCTGTTATAAATTTGGGAGGCTTATTTTAAAAAGTATGTGTATATGTGTATATATATATGCATTCACGCACACATGATACTTTGTACATACATACCTGTTTTCTAATAGCGGAATGTCACAGTCAAAGGAGTGGACAACTCAAATTATCTCATTGCTGTGGACAAGTTAAATCCATATACTGTGTATACCTTTCGGATTCGTTGTTCTAGTGAAACTTTCTGGAAGTGGAGCAAATGGAGCAACCAAAAACAATATTTAACCACAGAGGCCAGTAAGTTAACAGAGTGATTTATGGTTAATTATTACTATGGATCCTGAAATCCTATAACTATTTTTAGAGAAAATGTCACCAAAGTGACTAAAAACGGGAGAATGCTTAGACAGATTGCGTAATTCCGTATTATCTGCTAGTGAAATATTACATAGACGTTTTCAGTGAGGGTCTTTGGAGCATTGTGACGATATGGAAGCACAAAGGGCCTGGGTCGTGCCCCGGGACGAGGCCCCCCTCTGCAGCACGGTCGCGTCTGTGTTCAGGCGAGCGCAGGAACCCAGACTTTGGACCGCGGAGAGGCTGTGGGGTGATTTTTCTCACTCCTTCCCCCTTTTCCCGGATTTTCCGGAATCTATTTAGATGGCCTCTTTTATTAACAACAATTATTGATGAAGAGAATTAGTTGGTATTTTAATTTCTGACCCAAGCCTGAGAAATGGACGGGGCTAAGGTCTTGAACTTTAGTTTCTACAGAACACAGAGCAAAACAGCTATAAAATCAGGGAACTGGTTTTCTGAGTATAATTTCCCAAGGCAGAATAACATTCTCTGCTTGATTAATCAGATGTCAGCTTTAAGACAGAACATAGAAATAGGTATGATTTTCAGGAATCGTTCATGAAAAGATAGCAGGTTCTTTCTTGGCATTATATAAATAGGAAGCACAAGGCTTCTCCTCCCAGATTTAGCAAACGGGAAAGCAAAAGCGATCAGACGTTAGTCCGGATGTTGTCTCCCCACGTGAAGAGCAAAGAGGGGGAGAGGAGCTTTGCAGTATGGGTAAGAATTGCTTGGATCATTAGAAATGAGTCCTATCCACGAGTTCAGAGAAAGAGTGTGTTAATCTATTGCTGTGTGGCCAATTACTCCCAGACTTGGTGCATTGAAACAGCAAACATTTATTATCCCACAGTGAGTGTCAGGGGAGCTCAGCGGAGTGGCTCTGCCTGAGAGTCTCTCATGAAGCTAGTAGCCATCTGGGTGGGGGCTGCAGCCTTGATTGGGGCCCGATTGTCTGCCTCCAGATGGTTCTCTCACAGGGCTGCAGGCAGGAGGCCTCTGTTCCTCTGCACAGGGCTGCCGGGGTGTCCTTTGAACATGGTAACCATCTCCTGCTGGACTTGTGATGGTACAGAGAACAAGGCTACCTCCACAGCGTCTCTGGGACCCAGCCTCAGAAGGGACAAGCCTTCCTGTTGGCTGCACCCTATTGGTCACACAAGCCAAACCTGACGTAGGGTGGGAGGGCACCCACAAGGGCAGGAACATCAGGAGTGCTGACCAGTTCCATCGGTCGTTTTGTAGACTTGCCTCCACGGGCACTTATCCTTCAGTGGATGAGCCACTGTAGCCGAAAGGAAAGGAGCAGTTTGTTCGTACTTCATTAAGATGAAGGAATTCATGTCACAGATACCTGCTCAGTACCCACCATGTGTCAGGAATTGTTCTGGTCACGGGGGCAGAGCAGCACATAAAACAGCAATCTCTGCCGGTGGGATGTATACGGTAGAGGGTTAGGAATGACTGTTTTTATTACATAGTAGTATGTTGGGTGGTAGTGAGTGCCGCAGAGAAACATAAAGCCTAGAAAGGGCGCTGGGGATGGAAGGCCAGGTGGCGGGGGAGGGAGTTGCAGTTTTAAATAGGGCGGTTGGGCAAGACTCACTAATAAGGTAACGCTTGCTCTGAGGTGTAAAGGAGGTGAAGCCGGGTGGTTTATTCAGGGGCAGGGGGCTCTGGGCAGAGGAAGAGGGCGGGAAAGTGCAGAAAGCCTGGGGCAGGTGTCCTCCGCAGGTCTGAGGACCTGCCAGGAAGCCAGTGTGGCCAGAGCAGAGGGACCCTCACCCGTCACTTACAGCCTTGAGGGTGTTTTTAACCCATTCTAAAGGGTCTTATGCTTTGAAGGCGTGGAGAGCTTTTCCTTACTTTGTTTTCTGAGTGGAGGCTATTATGTGCTCCCATGTTCATTGAGAATTCCAAAAACCTAGAAATAAATTTCAAGCACCGCCATCTGAGTTATTGACATTGTCAACTGACGGATCATGCATCTTCAAATACTAACTTTTCCATCTCTTTCCTAGTTCCTTCAAAGGGACCAGATACTTGGAGAGAGTGGCGTTCTGATGGGAAAAATCTAATAATATATTGGAAGGTAAATATCGAATGATTCCTTGAATATTTGCAGCACTTGATTATGGTAAACTACCTAACTTACATATGGTACTTGGGTTATCAAGCAACTAGGATTTCTCAGATTCACAGAATTGCTGAGACTGTAACCCAGCTCCTAAACCCCTGGATTTCTCCTCACTGCTGCACCCCGGTCACTTCAGTGAGGATCTCAGATCTCAGGATTCTGTGCTTTGAGTTTATGAGGCCTACAAAGGACCTGAGGGTTTCATGAATTCAGTCCCTCTCACTTTAGTCAGAAACAAAGCCAGAAGCTACAAGTTAGAACCCTGACTACTTATATTGCATTTTTACCCTTGATGAATAGGAAACCAACTTTTTATATATTTTATGTGTAATTTGTTTCCCTTAAATTAAGTTACATCAAAATTATGACAATTTTAGTTGGGTAAAATTTTAGATAAAATATGAGTTGCATTACATTTTACTGGTTTTCCCTAGTAGAACAAACATTTTTGTTGCTATATTTTTTATCTGCTTTATAAACATTGAAGTCACAGTTTTCTACATCAGATTTCATAAGAGCAGTCATCATCAGATTCCTTTAAATAGTGAATTTTGTTGTCAAAAGTGGAATAAGTCATTTTTACAAAAATGTGACATCAGTACAGCTTTGAGTAGTGAGGTCTGAGCACACATCCTGTAGAAGTTCTGTTGCTTTGGGCTCGTCTCTATGGGACTGTGGCTTCCCCCCCTTACTCCTGATGAGAAATTCCGCCGGCTCCCCTCAGTCGTCTGTCAGATTTCACGTAACGGTAATGATTATACAAATTGCTGCCGTGTAGAGGACGTTTGGAATGTTGCTCACACTGGGTGACTGTTTAACCAGGGATTAAAAATGTTGAAGTGATTCAGACTAACTGCAGCCACGAGGTTAATTGTTCTGCCATATTTGGGTAGAAAATTAAGTTGTTTTGGACATGTTGAGGTTTTTAAACATGTGTCACTGGGATATCCGAGTAGAGTCCAGTGGGTGGCGGTTTGAAGTAAGGCTCTCGAGCTCAGGGGAGAGATGGGAGCTAAAGACAGAGCTTTGAGTGGCATCCAGGGTGGGGCGAAAGTAGGCTTAGAGTTGTTTGTGCGGAAAATAATGCAGTAGTTAATAAATAATAATACAAGAATTAACTCTGCTGCCCCACCCTGAGTACATGGGATCCCTGGAGGAGAATGTACAGGTAGAAAGAGGCCAGGGCGGGGGCCTCGGAGCTGGCGGCAGATCCAGGGCCGGCAAAGGAGGAGCCAGCAGAGGGGACTGGGAAGGCCAGAGGGGCCCGGCGACCGGCAGGGAAGGGCACGCTTTCTGTAATGAGCACGGACCGCTCTAAAATGAGGAAACGGTGAATGTTTAAAAAACTAGGATGCCGTGCTTGTTAATGTGTTGTTTGTTTCTATATAGAGCAGGGCTTCTCGTAACTCTTTTCGGTTTGCTTCTGAACAGTGTGAGGCTAAATGCTGTTTTTCATGTACTTAATTTTCACCCGTGTGTGTGCTTGTCCTGCTCACAGCGCTGACATCCCCCGGCCCCACCTTCCTGTCTGCCCAGGTCCCGGTGGGTTTCACACCTTCTGTCACCGCTGCGTCTTTCCTGATGCTATCCTGTCACGATCAGCGTAGTGTCCCGTTTAGACTCGATGGCCTTGCCTCCGCACATAGTCAGTGTTGCAGGTTTTATAACAGAAGCGACCCTTCTGTTTCCCGTAGCCTTTGCCCGTTAACGAAGCTAATGGAAAAATACTCTTCTATAACGTGTCGTGTTCGTCGGACGAGAAAACTCAGTCCCTTTCCGAGATCCCCGATCCTCAGCACAAGGCGGAAATACAGCTCGACAAAAATGACTACATCATCAGCGTGGTGGCCAAGAACTCGGCGGGCGCCTCGCCACCGTCCAGAATAGCCAGCATGGAAATCCCAAACGGTGAGTGTTCGGGCGCCGCGATGCCCGGGGGCGGGAAAGCGGGAGCGTGGTGGAGGCGTCGCGTGCTCCCTGCTGCTGCGGGCGGGTGAATGAGCGCTCGCCCAGACGGCAGCCGCGAGTCCCACTTGTCACCTGCGCGGGTGGGCGAGATAATCGCTGACCCTGTTAGCTTAGCGCATAGTGCTGGAGAGTTGCCGTGGTGGCTGCTACTCTTAGCAAGAAATGCTTTAGCGGTTCATTCAGATGCCCTTTTCATCTGTCCCCCGACACCCTGAGAGAGGACTCTTACGTCAGCTGGGCTGTTTCCATACTGTCAGGCAGGAAGAGATGCTCGGTTTAAATGGCAGCTTTGTTGATAAGACATTCTTTAAATAGGAGTCCTTTATGGATTCTTCTTGAAAGTCTAAGTTAGACCTTCATTATAAAAGAAATTTGGTGTAATTTTAAAATTTCTTAATGCCTTCCTTTAATTTTTATGGGTTAGCAGTGAGTAGTCCGTTCCTCCTTAGCTGCCTCGACAGCTTCTTGAGTGGTGAGTTCAAATACCACGTCCGCCTCTGGTCCCGGTCAGCTCCTCTTCTGAGTTGTCCCCCGGCTGTTCTGCCCCAATATGGGGCACCTTTCTCTGACCACCCACTTCTAGAGGAAGACAGATTGGTCCCGCTGGGTCCTCTAAGTATCTTTTTAGTTCTTGCTGGAGGCAGTCTTATTGCTTGTTACTGAACTGGTTCTTCGCTTCAGTGGGATGCAGGGGAATCGGAAGGAGGGAATGGGGAGCACAGCATGTTTCAGACCCACAACACCAGCCAGGGCCCCAGAGGGTAAGGGGGAAACAGAGATGTGTGGACAGCCTCGAAGCAGATAACCACTCACTTAGATATTTGCTCTCATGACAGGCAATAGCCGTGTTATCTTCTGACCCAAGACCTATATTGTTACCTTTTCCATGTGTCTCCAGAGTGTGGTGATTTACAGAACTCACAGTGGCCTCGTCAGCTCTCATTCCTGACGTCCCAGAATAAATCACTGTCCCTGGAGGTTCTCCCAAGTGGCAGGCCTCACAGTCAGCACAGTATGACCATGTGGGTTTTTAATCACAGTGAACCACAAAGCTGTTATATCCAAAGTCTTTATTCTGAGTCAGACCATTGTCTTGTCCTCAGTAGTAGTTGCTTTATGAGTGCAAATCTTGATTTAAAAAGTCTTTGGCTTTTTACTAAACCCTTAAACACGCATCGGTTGTAGAAATTACAGCCATCCCTCAGCACATGTGGGGGTTGGTTCCGGGAAACCAAGGCCCATGGATGCCCACGATTCTCAGGTAATGACCAGAACGGAGCGTGCAGGTGGCCTCCGCATCCGCCGGGTTCCCGCCACGGGCTGAGGTTACCGTCTTCACGCTTGGCTGAATCGGCGGATGCAGAACCCGTGGATACGGAGGCCCGGCTGTACTTCTTTCCCGTGTTACTGTGGAAAGAGGCCCCCTCTCCCCTTTGGCCAAGCCGCCCTAACCCACGCCAATTTCTCACCCCCCACCTGGACCTCTCCTGACACCTAGGCCAAGATCTGGCACCGGCTCGTGCTAGCCCCTTCCCATCAGCCTCAGCACCTCACCCCTCCGTCTCCCACGGGCCCTGTTTGGGCTTTTCCCTCTCTGTGCCCTCACCGGCCATCCCACCCCTCCCACGGCGTTTCATCCCAGCAGGTTCCTCCTCTCTGCAGCCCATGTGGCAGGGCGGGAGGGCCGTCTTCCAGGAATGGAAGAGGGTCTGGAGCAGCCTTCCGTCCGCCTCCTGCTGCTGTGCCCTTGCCCTGTGCGCTATGCAGGGCTGGCATTGCAGGCACGGCCCCCCACCGTGGAGCTCACACCCCAGGTGGTAATGAGAGGAGGGACGCAGCAGGCTGTTGCTCGTGCTCTGCCTCCAGCCTGCCCTGTACCCTCTGGTGCCCTCACGCCCTCTGCCCGAGCCTCCCCAGCCCTCGACCTTCGTGTCCTGGCCCCACTCATTCCACCTGATCTACTTGCTTTTTTACTCCTTTGTTTCAGCTGCTGAGTTAATCTGTGTGTACAGGTAATTGCCATGGTCACAACAGAAATAACAGAGTGACACTTACTAAAGGTTTATCTAGTTTGAGCACTTTTAAAATTTCTGTACAGGGAAGTAAATTTTATAACTCCTGCCCATTTTCATGAGGTTTACCTTACAGTGTTATTTTTAACACCAGCTAATAAGTGTCCTTCTTTCTCGTTGAAGATGATCTGAAAATCGAGCAGACGGTCGGGATGGGAAATGGGATCCTCCTCACGTGGAACCACGACCCCAACATGACTTGCGACTACGTCGTTAAGTGGTGCAACTCTTCTCAGCCAGAGCCCTGCCTGATGGACTGGAAGAAGGTCCCTGCGAACAGCACCGAGACCCTCATAGAGTCCGGTATGTGTTCCTCGGAGGTCTCCAAGATCAGTTTTAAAAGAGCAGCCCACGGACCGCTCTTCCCGACCACTGGGCCAGGCTGGACTGGTTTGGCTTTTTGGAAGGTGGTTCCAGGCAATGTGTATGTAGAAGGATTCAGATCCCTTGATCTCATAATTACTTGTCTAGGAATTTATTCTAGGAAATAATGAGAGAGCAACACAGATTTACATCTGAGAATGTTCACTGCAGCATTATTTATAGTCGTGAAAATGGAAAACAGCCAATAGGAGAGAGAGTTGAACTGGTACCTCTGTGAGATGGAGTTTTAAGTAGCACTGAAATACGCGTGGAAGGTTTAACAGTGTGGGAAATGCCCACGAAGAAGGTTACGAAACTAAGGACTGTGGGCTCTCGCAGGAATTTTGCCTGTTTGCCCAGGGCCCAGGTTCCCAAGGTCAGGGAGACTGAGACAGAGGACTTGCACCCCTATTACCACTTAGCTTGGGGTCCATCAAGGGGACGTCGGCCTGGCAGCGGGCACAGGGGGCGGGCCAGCTCCGTGGTTGCTGGGGAGCCCTGGGCCTCTTTGGCAGCTGCCCTTGGTACTGTGAAGCCTGAATTTAGCCCCGGGGCACTTGGTAACTACCGGCTAAGCCAGCCTTGTCCTGGGGAATGGGTGCCCCCTCTCCACTGTCCCTGTTCCTTCGCAGGGGCTGACCAGTGTTGTCTCTGTACCCTCAGAGGGTACAGGGATGCTGGAACCTGCAGTCTGTGGGTGGTGATGTCCTTACCCCGTGACTCACCATCCCCCCACCCCCGTGCTGGTGAGGTTCAGGGGAGCCAGACTGTTCTCTCCTCCTTCCCTTTGTCGCTGTCAAATGGTGAGGAGGGGTCCCCTTCATTCACTTACCACCTGTGGGGGCCGCTCATGTTCCCATTCTACTTGGAACGCAGCCAGACGGCCTCCCGTGCAGAGTCGGCCAAGGCAGGGGCGATGGTTCCCTTTACCCTTTCTCCCCGGACGCCCCACTTCCCAGCCTGCTGGTCGCACCTCAGCCCCCCTTTCCTGCACCTTCCCTTGCGTTTCCCCCACGGGAGCTGCCTGAGACCCACACTGGCCCAGGGCGCTCTGTGGGGTTCTGAGCTCCCCTCCGCCCCTCCATGCTTCCTCACCTGGGCTTGGGGTCCGCGGGAGGGCCTGGGGCAGGTGCAGTGATGTGCGGAGGTGCCACCCGAGGGACAGCATCTGGACGGAAGTTAAGCCAACACCTGTGGGCTGAGCAGAACGCCCCAGCCACGAGGCCCTCCTGGGTTAGCGAAGTCAGCGACCTTGCCCAAGGTCACAGAACGAGGGCGATGGCAGCAGGATCCAAATCCAAAGCAATTCGGGGCTTCGGGAAGCTGGGGATTTTGTCTTCCATTCGCTGCTGCGGGAACAGCGGGTGGCCGTAGCAGGTGTTTCTCCTGTTCTTTTCTCATCCGCTCTCACCCGTCTTCCCTCTTTCATGACCTGCTGTAACCCATCCAGGCACCTTTTCTTTTCAGGAATCGGAATCCTAGACTATGGATACAGATAAACGTAATTGAAACATCAAACTCTAGGTACAAATTTACCAGCGTGCGCGCATTATAAAATCACAACCTCAAGCGTACCTGTCTCCAAAGGAGAAAGTGACGAAATGATGTTAGAGAGTGACCAGCTCCCCTCGGAGCCTGTGGGTCCCCGATGTTCCAGGGCACAGAGCTGGGCAGCCAGTGCTTTAGCCGCACTGGAAAAGTCATATTCCATGAATTAAATGCAGACCCTATACTGGCGTTTTCCCCAGGCAGTATCCTCTCCCCAGACCACCATTGGTGAGCTCCTAATTGCCCTTCAAGTCCCTGTTCCAGTGTCACTTCTTGGTGGCGTTGTCCCTCCTCGGAGGTGCCACAGCCTATGATAGGTCCCCCTGGTCTCACAATGAGTCCCCCTGTCTCTCCTCTCCTCTCTGCCCGCTTCTCCAGGCCAGGGCCTCTGTTCCCAGCGTCTCCCACATGGCGTTGTGTTGAGGGGGCATTTAAAAGGGGCTTCCTGACTGAAGTTAAGGTGCTTCTCTTGTATGGCAGGGTCACTCAAGGGCACTAAATGGAGATGCCATAAAGGAACAGACTCTAAGACCAGCTCCTTTCACATGGATGCATCCAAAGCCAGTGGACATTTTAGTGTCTGCTCTTGGCCTGAGGTGCGAGCTGGGCGGCTTTCAGACCCAGAACCAACAGCAGCCGGGGGGGGAGCATTTCAGAGCACGATGTGGGCCTGACCCTGGACCGAGACTGGACGAAGGCGTCATTGCTGGGTTTTAGGGAACAAAGTCAAAGCCTTGGTCACCATGTTAATAATGCTCAACTTTTCATTACAATGAAAGTAAATTTAAAAAATTTTTTTAGTCAGTGTTCATTGTGAATATTTACCAGTTTTGAAAATATGGATGTATTTTTGATAAGAAAGCATCTATTTAAATTTAGCTTTGGCAGTTTTCAGAGTACGTTCCTGTAAATTTGATGTTTCTGAGATAGAAATTCATGGTAACGTGCACTGACGAAAGCTGACTGACTGTCCGCCCTGTAGATCAGTTTCGCCCCGGCGTGAGGTACAACTTCTTCCTGTACGGGTGCAGAAACCAAGGCTATCAGTTGCTGCGCTCTGTGATCGGATACACGGAAGAGCTGGGTACGTTAAATGGGCCCGTTTTCTCAGAGCTCAAGGTAACGTGAGGAATTATAAGTGAACAGTTGGGTCCTAAAACTAGATTAAATGGGGAAGTTTAGTTCAGGGAAGGGAAAATAATTTGTATGACAGTTAAAATAATTTATGATTACTTATTCGTACTTCATTTGTTTAATTGTGTGTTTCACAAATTCATTGTCATTGAAAAAAATCGTGTTTTGCATGTCAAGAATACTTAGTTTGCAGTTATACAAATTGAAACAGCTATCGACTTATTCCAGATTACCAGTAAAGAGGGGAACCACAAGTGGAGTCTGTTTGAATATCCACTTAGAGATTTTGCGTAGTTGCTTCCCTAATAGTCCTGCCTTTGTGTGTCTGGTGATTAGCTTCACAGCAGAAGTGTTTGTAGTAATGTGTGTGAAAGTTTATGATTAAATAGGAAATAAACTTCTGATTCCGAGTTTAGTTATTTTCGAGGCTAGAAATCCCGTTAACTGTTGGTGTCTTACTCTGTATCAGTAAACTCCCCTTCACCCGTGACTGTCCCCTTTTACAGCTCCCATCGTCGCTCCCAATTTTACCGTTGAGGATACGTCTGCAGACTCGATACTAGTGAAATGGGAAGATATTCCTGCGGAAGAGCTTAGGGGCTTTCTACGGGGATACTTATTCTACTTTGAAAAAGGAGAGAGAGACACATCGAAGATGAGGGGTTTGGAACCAGGTAAGTCCGTTACTAAAGTGAGTTGAGGGCAGCCAAGAAGCCCTTCGTTAGTTACGAAGAGGAGGAAGGGAAGTGCGGCTCGTTGCTGCGATGCTGGTTTCCAGAACCGCCTGGAAAATAGGGAAATGGAAATGCTATCATTTTATAAATACGAGAATGTTAATAGTTTAAGTCCATGATAATCAAAGTGTAATCTTTCAGAAATTATTTAAATTATTTGTTCTGAAGCCTTGAGTTGTAAGCCCCATCTCTTACTGGTCAGGCCTGATCCATTACATCGCATCTTATGAAGGTTACTAAAAAAAAAAAAAAAAAGTCTTCCTGTACTTACAATAACGGAGGGGAAAAGCTCAGGCACCCAAAGAATGGCTTCGGAGCCTCTTTTGTTATCTGACAAAATGCCTCCCTCACCGATAGCCTTGGCTTTAATGAGCTGAGAAACTTAATGGACTTGATTAAAGACAAGTGTATCCATTAGATCGTAAAAGTACAGCCAACTCTGACACCTGGTAAGTGTATGTCCAGAGAAGTAAGAGAATTCCCAAATTTACAAACGCAAAAAATGTTTGTGCAGGCTTCTGGCATTTCCCTAAATTATATTTCTTTTGGAGTCAGATGTTTATTTGTAGCCACATAATACAAGCGTATCACCTTATCAGTCTGTGTGCTTTCATTTCCCTTAATGACCTCTCCCCGGAAAGAAACCGTTTTAATTATCCAGTGCAGGTCTGACAAGTAGAGAACAGCATAGCATCCCTGCATGGAGATGCTGACCAGGCTTGGGCCAAGTCCCTTCCCAAGAGCAGCTGCGTTAAACACACGCTCCCCAGATCCCCAAGTCTGTGTTTCCTGAGCCTTCAGAGTTGCCTATGAAGGAGGGATCCCTAAATACCAAACTCTACAGACACCCAGAGTCTGGTGTAATTTTCCTCAAATGCTCAGAAATTTTGCACTAGAACCAGTTAAAATTCAAGCATCTAGACTTACCATGAGACATGGTGGATTGGTCACTAAAATTAGAGTAAAAAGAGGAAAAAACATCATCATACCAATGCTTAAAGCCACAAAGAGAACTAGAGGGGTAAGAGTACACCAGGAAAGGAGTTTTGGATATTGGAGGCTGTTGGAGGGGAGGCTGGTGGGATCCAGGGGACAGTCAGCATCTGTGAGAGATCGCTGGGTTCATCCTGTGGGACCGTTAGGGTGGACCTGGGCCGAGCCTCGGGGGTTAATTGGAAGTCTGTGTGAGGAGCAGTTAGAACCCCCAGCCCTACGCCAGCTTCACGTAGCTGATAGGAATGCCCAGGCCCTGTCTGAAGGCAAGAGGTTTATTTTTTGGAGAAACTGAACTGAGAGCCCCTCCATAGAGGGGGTCAGCTTGGTAAACGGCAGACCTTCCCCTTTCTCCTTCCCACCCGGCCAATAGGACGTCTCTAGCTTGGCCTGTTTTCCCAGTCGGGATTATAGGCTCTTTTTCTGGAAAAAATAAATGGTTCCTGGTGAAAGACATAAAAGATACTGATGTTTGTGGGTTTGTCCCAATGGAAAGCCTGGTCATTCCCCACCAGGAATAAGTGAAGCCCCCAACCAATAAACCCCACCCATGAGCCTGTTTGGTGTGGCTCAGTTGGTTGAGCATCCTTCCTACGCACCAAGAAGCCTCCCGTTCAGTTGCCGGTCAGGGCACGTGCCTGGGTTGTGGGCTTGATCCCCAGTAGGAGGCATGCAGATAGATGTTTCTCTATCATTGATGTTTCTGTCTCTCCCTCTTCCTCTCTCTGTAAAATCAATAAAAATAAACCTGCCCACGCCCACCGAGCCTCCGTGGGCCTTTTAGTGGCTCCTCTGGAACGTGGGTAGCAACCAGGGGTAACCAGGTGGCTGAGAAAGCTCCTAACATGAGAGACAGAAACCAGAAGAAATCAGAGGAAACATTCAATGTGAGGAACAGAGTAATTTAAAACAAAATAAAACTTGCTTGGGTCATTGAGACCTGCCGTATGTATTTGGAAAGACATGTCACTGTAATAGGGGAAAATCAGAAGACAGGTAGAACTCCTCAGAATCGAGCCTGGCCCAGACGCTCCACAGCACACCCATTACTAGAAGGTATCACGGAAGTGTCTTCAGAATACTGGGTGAACATTACTTTCAGCCTAAAGTTCTGTACTTGGCCGTCTGTCAACGGATAGGAGAGGAGAATGAAGACATTCTTAGGCTTGCAAGCCCGCACCGGCTTCCTTCCTGCACACGCCCTTTCTCTGGAAGCTGCTGGGCAAGGTCACCAGTGAGGACACAGTGGGGAAGGGAGTCCAGTCAGGAGAAGATGCTCTGGGAAGGTTCCCCCGGGGGGGAGCTGGCCCTGGGGGGAGCTGGTGGGGGTTGGGGGCCGGCGATGGCCCTGGGACTCAATCGTGTTGGACCACATGGAAAAGTGTACCAAATAGTCACTGGAGGATGTGGGAAGAATTAGGAATTGGTGCATCCAGCAGACGAGGGTAAAAAGCAGTTATAAGAGAAGAACAAGAAAGGAAACATCCTACAAAATTTGCAGATGATCACAGTAACGTAAACACTGGCTTTACTGGGTGTTCTGATGTTTCTGTGTGAGGTATGGGGGTGTGGGGGCAGGGGGGTAGTCGTGAGAGAGCTAAGTCTGCATCTACCTGTGGGACATGGGTAGATAATCCCGCAATTTAAAAATCAAGCACTGCCAACCTAAGTCTGTTTTGAAATACGGAAGTAAATATCCAAGGAACTTGGTAACATGATTTTAAAGTAGGTGTAGGTGGTGGGGGAGACGCTGATGGGGAACAGCTGCTTTTTAGCCACATAATGTATTATTTTGGTTGAAATTTTAAAAAATAATACTTTAAGCAGTTCTTTTTTTCCGTTATTGTTGACACTATTGCAGATGTCCCTGCCTCCACACAGCCCCCACCCCCCTTCCCTCTGGCCATCAGCGCGCCGTTGGCTGGGCCTGTGAGAGGCGCCTCTGTGTTCTCCGGCTCACAGTTCTTCACACTGCTTTTTGAAATGACCCAGAGGCTTCCTCACTAGCGTCTCACTTGAGAGCCTCTTTCCTGAGTGGCTGGGGGTCCTCTCCGTTGATCTGTACTCTCGCTGCCTCAGGTCTCACTCACGGGGGGCATCGGTTTTCCATGTTCTTAGCAGCAGAAAGAGAAGTGGCTTGTGTTTACTGCCTTGAATGGGTGAGAACTTCACACGGCCCTGCGAGATAAGGTCCTAATACTCTATTTCATGGCTAGAGACGCTCAGGTTCAGGGAGATTTAAATGAAGGGTCCAGTTCACACAGCTGCTCACTCGTGGCCGTGGCCGTGGCCGTGGCCCTGGCTGGCTCCACGGCTCAGGCCTGGATGTGGCCAGCTGCTGGACTCCCCTAGCAGGGATGCGGGGGTGCGTTTAAAATGCCGTAGAAATAAGGATAATATTCTTCACTTTAAAAACAGGTCGTTCCGACGTCAAGGTTAAGAACATCACGGACATATCCCAGAAGACACTGAGAATCGCTGATCTTCAGGGTAANCGTGGCCGTGGCCGTGGCCGTGGCCGTGGCCCTGGCTGGCTCCACGGCTCAGGCCTGGATGTGGCCAGCTGCTGGACTCCCCTAGCAGGGATGCGGGGGTGCGTTTAAAATGCCGTAGAAATAAGGATAATATTCTTCACTTTAAAAACAGGTCGTTCCGACGTCAAGGTTAAGAACATCACGGACATATCCCAGAAGACACTGAGAATCGCTGATCTTCAGGGTAAAACAAGTTACCACCTGGTGTTGCGGGCCTACACGAATGGCGGATTGGGCCCCGAGAAGAGCATGTTTGTGGTGACCAAGGAAAACTGTGAGTTAAATGTTGCTGTTGAGATCCTTCCCATACTTAAGTGTACAGTTTTCTAACGATCTTTGTATAGGAATTCCCTTTTATTAAATTTCACATTTTGTTGCATTTTTATAGTTGGTATAAGGCAGGGTTAAAAGGCCATGAGAAGACTTATTTATTCTTTTTAATTATTTGAAGCTGTTTCCTCATGAGTATCTGAGAAATGAATGAATGAAGGATACACCTGAAGTCCAGAGTTCTCAGTTCATGTGGAGTTTATATAATGGCCAACCAGTTTAAAATCTTTTGCCCTAATTATTCTGTGGTTTTTAACATATCCAGGGAAGAGTGAAAAATATATTTTTTTAAAAATGTGTTGAGCACAGCTTATAAATTTGAGATGGAAAGTAGAGAGGCGTGATGGACTTGACTCCCGTTGGCAGCAGCAGACTTGACTTTGATGCCTGTGGTTGGAGTTCCTGCGCACTCTCAGTGTAAATGGCTGTGAGGTGGTGCTTCTCAGCTGGGGGTGGTTTTGCCTCCTTGTGGACACTTGGCAATGTCTGGTGACACTTCTGGTTGTCATAACTGGCAGGTCTGCTGGGATCTAGGGGTGAGGACCCCAGGGATGCTGCTAAACTTCCTACAGTGGATGACAGCCTTCCCTGGACACACACACAGACACACACACCGTGAGGAAATAGCTGGCCTGTAATGTCAGCAGAGCCAAGATTGAGTAGCCCTGCTCTGAAGAATTTAAGTACGAAGATAAAAATTATTAAAATGTTTGAAGGTTATATTTTAATAGTTTTCCCCTGTCCCTGGAGCAGTTAGGATTTTTCCTTCTCATCTGCCAACTTAAATATTTCTGAAGGTGAATTTATTCTATACGTCACACCGAAAATGGTGATTTCAGCATTTGCAATGTTCTCTCTCCAGCCGTGGGACTGATAATCGCCATTCTCATCCCGGTGGCGGTGGCTGTCATCGTTGGAGTGGTGACAAGTATCCTTTGTTACCGGAAGCGAGAATGGTAATCTGCGCTCACTCTTGCTCTTTTATTCTTGTGGGTGTGGCTGTTTACGTTTAACAAATAAGTACATTTTTTTTTTTTGGTTGAAGCTAGTTGGTAAAGAAATACTTGTTTTAGTGAGAATTAACGTTGGACTTAATGTTAGGCAAGAACATGGCATATTATTTAAAGGTTTAAAAAAAAACGTGCAAATGTTTTCCCTACTGTATTTCCTAATAACCTAAAATAATAGCATTTGTGCTAAAAATAATATTCGCAGGCTTAAATATAACAATAGCTATGTGCCAGGTGAAATGTAGTTGCGTGATTAAGACCTCGCTTGTCTTGGTGACCCCCTTAGAAAATCAGGTCAAGTTATTCGTTTAGTCAGTAGACATGGGCGACGCCTCCCAGGTGAGGAGGGAGGTGGCGGTAAACTAAGCGTGGTCCTGACAGACTTCCAGCCTAGTGGGGTGCTGGACATGAAGCCATAACCACCCAGAAGCTGCGGGCTTAGAGTGAGAGTGGGTATGGGCAGGTGGGCGCCATGAGAATGGCACGAGAGCCGTGGCCCTGGAGGTGGCGGCCAGGGCTCCCTGCGGGAGTTGCGATTGGGCAGCATCCCAAAGGGTAAGGAGGGGAAAGAATGTTCCAGGCAGGGAAAGTGACTTCTGTGAGGACCCGGAGCTGGGAAAGAAGTTGATCTGGAGAAAGCGAGGAGAACTGTGTGTGGAGGTGAGGCGCGGTGTCCGGAGGCGAGGGGAGGGGAGGGGACGCGAGGCTCAGCGGGAGACAGGCCTCGTGGTCAGCTGACAAGGTTGGCCGGGGCTGGGCTTGGGGCCGGTGGCTGTGTCCATCTTAGACAGTCCTCACTGGCCTCAAAAACCATCATTTATGAGAAAGACAAGAATGTATTCTAGCAACCCTGGCTTATAAATCAAAATAGTAATAATGTCCTGCTAACCCTGTCCTGCTAACCATACTCTCATTACCAGCACTCTCAGCATAAAACTGATTTCAATACCAAAAAAAGAGATCAAGTGCGGAGCGAGTTTGAAGTTGGAGCATTTCAGGCTTGCATTAACAAGGTTTTTCCCTGCAGGGATTTTGAACAATAAAGCCCTTTTGAATCGCTGTGCGGTGGCATGGCACAGAGGAGTCTCCTTTCTGTTTGTGTTCAGTTTTTGCTCAGGATGAACAGCCTTCCTTTCTCTGATAGTCCAGAGCCTGCCAGGAGCCTAGAGAGCGGCACACAAGCGAGTCCCCTGCGTTTTCCATCCTGCTCACGCGGTGCGCAGCGCGAACGGCTCGCTTACGTGAGCAAGGCCTGCGTTTTACTTCTGACCTAAGAGCCCGGTCACCATTTTAATGCTTTGCTTTCCATCTCCGTAAGATGCACAAGCTGTTGCAGCTCTGGAACTAAGAGTAGTGTGTCCGTGGTTTTAAAACCGGAGCCTCTGGACACATGGCGTGCAAAGTCCCGGTGAATGGTCGATCACACTGAGAACGACCTTGCCTCTTCATCTCGTGTCCGTTCAGGGTTCTTACGAAATGTCCAGCCGGCCTTGTGATTCAGTAACTCTTGGTTGCCTAATCGCTGGCTTTCAGTTATTAAATGTGTCTGATTCTTCTTTACTTAAAGGGTAAAGGAAACCTTCTACCCGGACATCCCCAATCCCGAGAACTGCAAAGCCCTGCAGTTCCAGAAGAGCACCTGTGAGGTAATCCTGCAGCACTGGCTTTTATTTTTTTTTTATTGTATTTTATTATTTTATTTATTTTATTTACTTATTTTATTTAGTCTTTTGTGAAAAGTTTTTAACATGCAAATGTCATCCTAAGTAAAATATGTTGAAAAAATAACGGTGCTCTGACATCTGCAGAATTTCTGCAGCTATCGATTTTAAATCACTTGCATCATGCTTTCCCCCCCACTGCTGTTAATAGCGAGAGTAGCATCGATGTGTGGGAAAAGGTAGCTTCGCTCTAGTATGCACCACAGGACAGGAGAGCGATTTTTACAAGCAGGCCTGGGAAAGTGGGTAAAATAACGCCCCTTCGTGCGGGAGCCCTGGTGCTGTCCTTCATCTCTGTTTTGCAATTGACTTCCAGGGAAACAGCGCTCTTAAAACACTGGAAATGAATCCTTGTACCCCAAATAACGTGGAGGTTCTGGAGACTCGGGCAGCGGGTCCTAAAATAGAGGACACGCAGATCATTTCCCCGGTGGCCGAGCGTCCGCAGGAGCGCGCCGAGGCCGAGCCCGAGAACCACGTGGTCGTGTCCTACTGCCCCCCCGTCATCGAGGAAGAAATAGCGAACCCAGGGGCGGATGAAGCCGGGGGCACCTCGCAGGTCGTTTACATCGACGTGCAGTCCATGTACCAGCCGCAGGCCAAGCCGGAGGAGGACCCGGAGGCCGAGGCCGCGCCGGGCGCCGGCTACAAGCCGCAGATGCGCCTCCCCGTGGCGGCCGCCGTGGAGGAGGCAGCCGAGGAGGGCGACCTGGGTAAGGCCGCGGGGTACAGACCGCAGGCCACTGTGAACACCTGGACCTTGGTGTCCCCAGACTCCCCCCGCTCCACGGACAGCAACAGCGAGGTGGTGTCCTTCGGAAGCCCTTGCTCCATCAACTCCCGGCAGTTTTTGATTCCGCCTAAGGATGAAGACTCTCCGAAATCTGACGGGGGAGGGTGGTCCTTCACAAACTTTTTCCAGAACAAACCAAACGATTAACGGTGTCCCCTCCGTCCGCCATCTCGATAAGCTCCCGTCGCCAGCGTTGCCGCGTGGGCGCCGGGCACGTGGGGGGACCCTGGGGAGCGCTGTCTGCGGGGTGGACTTCACTGTGTGCAAGTCCCGCTGCGCGTGTCCGTGTGCTTTCCGTGTAGCCTAGAGCCAAAGCACAGGGACACTGATTCAGCCCACGCCACTCGCGACTGGGAGCCACTTGTGATTCGAGCCACAGCGCCCTCCCGGGCCCTGCCCTTGGGAAGCTCTTCTGGCCTAACTGCCC